GTTTGGCTTTGTATTACACATTTCAGCTGGTTTGGTTTTGTTGGGGTCTTTTGGGGTTTGTTGTTTTTCTTTGTTAAATGGTGTTAAGTGTTTCATGCAATTTCAGTTTAACTTACTGTCTCTTTGCATCAACGCTAAATGCAAACAAAGCAGTTCACAAAACCCTCCTAGCTGGATAGGCCTTAGAAGAACTGCCTCCTGCTGTTTCTTTCTTATGTTAATTTTGATGATGTGCTCTCTCGGACACGGCTGTTATTCAATGGGGCTAACAGATTTATGGTACCGTACTTTCCACACAAAATTAAAACGTGCTTAGAGCCTAGCTTCCAACCAGCTCCGTGTCTGCAGCTGCTCGGATGTTTCCAATGCTCTAGTCATACTGCAATGCAGAGTTACGTGTTCAGAACCAGTCTCTTGGTCAGAGTCACTACATTAGGTCTCTGCTTGGCATTTCTCCTTGAGCTTTATCCCCTTCTCTGACTGGGGGAGGGTGCAGAAGCGGGAGGGAATAATGATGTCCTGAGGAATAGTGAGGTTTGTACTTATTTGGATCTTAAGTGACATAGTTGTGCTGTCTTAGACGGGCATGCCTTACCCTTCCAGATTTGGAGGGGTTTCTTAATGCTAAAACATGTTAAAGGCCTCCCTGGAAAGAGCAGAGGGTTATGTCACTCACCTGTCTGTACAATCAGCAATCTCTGCTCTGAGCGGATGCACAAATTCAGTCAGATGTGTGAGGATGCAGAATTACACTAAAGCTTGGTGAAAATTCACTCACTGTGTTCTAGCTGGCACAGAAATACCAGCAATCAGTGCGCGCTCTTGCCCTTCCACCCTTGTTCTCAAGCCCTGCAGGGGCAGCAAAGGCAGAGGGAACTCAGTTACCCTGTTTAACAGCAGGCAGCTTGCTGCATACAAGGTTTTAATGCTACTGTGCATCGTGCTTTTCTCCTGGCAGGTGTTTTATAGGGGAAGAGATTACTGTAATAGTTGAAGAGAGAGATGAAGGACAGAAATACCTGCTCACAGATTTACTGTTCATAGGTCAGTTTTTATAGCTCAGATTTACTGTGCGGCTGTAGGACCTCATCTCTCTTCAATATGTGTTTGCCTAGGACAGAAGAATGTTAGTTACAGCCTTGGCCATGCTATGTCTAAATCTAAATTACAGGACTTATTGCAACCTAGTTGCAGGCTTGACCTTGTATTTCTCTTTCAAGTCCTGCGTATGTAAGTTATATGGTCCAGTGCTTCTATTCCATTAAAGATAAATGGGTGTCTTCCATATGATGCAGTAAGTGTAGCTTGTGAGGAATAGGCACGTTCTCAGCCTGCTGTTGTGTCTTGATTTGCATTTGGAAAGGAGCTTTGGCTATCTCTGCGTTTATACTTGGGATGAAGAGCAAGTGACAGCTGCTAAAACTTCCACTCGCTTGGTTCTGAAACTAAAATACAAATGGTTTTAGGCTAGCACGTGAAAGGCTGCGTTCTTTTTGGGCCTCCTGACCCACACCGTGTTGCCTGCTCGCCTCCCACAAGGCAACATGAGAAGGTCGCTGCTGCCTATCGGGGTGAAAGCAGGTGCTCGTGTCTGTGGCAAAGGTATGCCGAACAGCAGCACTCTTAAAGGTTGCAGTGATGTGAATGGCCTGACCAGGCTGTGGTCCTGGAAAAGCAATCCCTGAAGGACACAGGCTGCCTGGGATCAGGTGTTGGCCTCGTGAGAAGCTTCTCCTTTGCTTCTGTAGTCAATATGGTTTGCTGGCAGGATGTGTGCCCGAGTGTGATAGCCCTTAAGACAGTGACTATTGAAAGAGCCCCTGACAGCAAAGCTCAATCCCTAATCATAAGAAGCAACACTTACTAGTTTGGTTTAGTGTGAGGTGTCCCTGCCCATGGCAGGGAGTCGGAACTAGATGATCTTAAGGTCCTTTCCAACCCAAACTATTCAATGGTTCTATGATTTAGTATGGGGATTTGATCTTTGTTGTTTGCTTGCAAATGTTGCTGCCTGTTTGACCTATGTTTCAATGAAATAAAGATGCTACTATTTTTTCTGCTCTTCCAGTAAATGCATAATGCAATGAGTAATTTTCAAGCCAAGGTAGTTCTCCAGAGGTATCGTTTGGGTTGGGGACAGATCAAAACCGGAATGTGTTGCTTTTCTTTCCAGGAATCTGTCAATCCAGCGCAAGACTTAAAAGATCCTGAGAATTAAAATGCACAATTTACCTCCAAGGCCATCTTGAATTTGGGGAATGCTGGCAATTATATCCACAGAAATTGATTTCCAATGGTAAGTGGGAAAAGGTTCTGCTGGCAAGCTGCATGGAAGGTGGTTAATGGCATAAGAATCCCAGAAACCCTGTTGGCCATGGCAGCCTTAGGAGATGCCCTGTTCTGCAGACCAGAGTGTCAGTCCATTTTGGTCCATCTCACAACTAGGAAGGTTCTTCCTATCTAAATTACTTTGCTTTTAATCTCAAAGTGTTCAAACTATGCACTTCCTTGGGTTTAACATCTTCAGAGCTGGCAGAGAAGCCCTGCTGCAGGTGGAAGAGAGGATGCTTATGTTAGCAGCTTTTGTCTTTGAGGCTTTCTAGATTTTAGATTTTAAATGAATGGGGAAGTTAGAGTCTTTATCATGAGTGTTTATTTGAATATGACTTTTAAATGAGGTCTCCACGCAGCCTTCTCTTCTCCAGGCTGAACAGCCCCAACTTTCTCAGCCTGTCTTCATATGGGAGGTGCTCCAGTGCCCTGATCATCCTCCTGGCCCTCCTCTGGACTTGTTCCAACAGTTCAACATAAAAAGGACATGGAACCGTTGCTGCAGTACCTTCCCTTTCTTCTACATCACGTTTCTAGCCACCAGGCTTTAATATGCCTGTGTCTGACAGAAAGAACTCGAGTCCCTTCAGTTCTTCTTTGCTTTGTAGCCACAAGTGTTTGCCATTTCTTAACTTCTGGTTTTGGTGAGCTAAACAGATAATCCTTCCGAAGCGGTTATGGTGCAGGTTCTGATTTTCAGTCCTCTGGTTACTATAGTGACTATTTGAATTTACTTCATTCGTTCACCGCTTTGTCTGGAGAGTGATTGTCAGAACTGGATATGATGTTCCTATTCCTGTTGTGCCTCCCATGTTTTCTTCAGCCGAGCCCTTTGGTCACGATGTCTTACTCAGGGTCTATGCCCACCTGGTTATCTTCCATCACCCTCTGCATTTTAACACATAGGACATTGCTGTGTTCTGAAAAGCACTTTTCTGGTTCTGGGTTTCTTTTATGGCTTCTAATAACCTAGTCAATAGTTCAGGCCTGAGAACGCGTTCTTGTACAGACTGCATAAAAATATACAGTCATTAATGATTTTTCAGTTAAAGTCATGCTACAGGACATACTAGTTACCCAGCTTTCATCTCTTTAACGTGTCATGTGGTTTCAGAATCGCTTTAGTTCCCTCTTCAACGTGTCATGGCCATCTCTAATATATTACAGAGCTTTGAGTAGATGGCATCAACACTATGGCTTTAAAAGAGAATAAATCATTCCATTGTCTTTTTTCCCAGGATTGATGGCACAGAAACAGGCTTATGGTTGGATCATTCGTACTCTGGAAGTAGTGGTGGGGGCTGGCATTTGTCCAATTCTCTGCAGCTTTCCTGGTTTTCAAAGCCTTATTAATAATTGATATTGATGGACAAGCTTGCTTTTCAGCCTTCGCAGGATGGGAAGGTCCCTGGAGAGCAGGTTGCATAGCCAACATCTGTGAAGGGGGGGACCTCTGCTCTGCAGCTTAGGAAGGTTAAATTACCCATCCCTGCCCCCCAGGTTAGAAAGTGAGGTCAGGGGCTGAGGCAAAGGTAGGTGGCTTTTGTGAGAGCTCTGAAGCACTGAATGGCTGTGACCAGAAAGAGCCAGGCAACCTAGGTAGCTCCCTTATAAACAGAAGAGGGCAGAAATACCTCCAAGTGCAAAATAAAGGGTTTTATTCTTTGTGGGGCCAGCCAAAGGGTGTGAAGCCTGACCCTTAACAGTTACTTGAATGCAAAGGATGTCAAAATCACATACTTCCTTTCACCGTTGCAGGTGCAGTTCATACTCCAGGCTTGGTTTGCATCTTGGTTCCTGTGAGTTTGCTGTGCCTTCAACAGCGTGTTCGCTGGGCCGGAAAGTGCGCAAAGTGGTGGCCTTGTCACGTAGCGTGCTCTCAGTTATGTAAGCGAATATTTCATTGGGATTTAAGACTACCAGTGCACAGAAGAGAAAGCACTAAATGAAAAGCCTGTGGAGGACAACAATGAATTGGGTCATCTATTCAATTTTTCATCTCTTGAGTCTGCTCGAGCCCAGCAGCATCTGAAGCTGTTTATATCTTGGAATTCATGGTCTTAATAAAAGGTAAATCTGTGCAAATCAGACCAGATGAAAAAGTCTCTTGTCTTAACTTCCCTTCTCTACCCTCCCACCACTGCAGTGGTGTAATCAAAGTTTAAACTACCGTACGTGGCCACAGCTCCCTTGTTATCACTGGAGGTATGCTGACTCATACCATATGATCTCTGTGCTTGCTAGTTTTCTGTGATTTCCCCTTGGTTTTAGAGGTTCAAGTTGTTTTCTCAGGACGCTATTACACTATCGCATAGTCAAATATATATGATGATAGGATGATAACAATATTCTACTACTTCCCTTCTCTTCTTTGGCTTTTCATCCTGTTGCCCCCTTGTTGAAACTTTTTATCAGCACTTGAACAGGGAGGGGGAGAAGTTAATTTCCATGCTCAAAGCCTGTTAGTGTGATGCAGAACAGAGAGAAAAAGGTTTTGCTTCTGCTTTGTGATTAAAAATAAACAAGCTGTGCAGTGTCCTGGTTTCAGCAGCAGTAATTTATGTTGCCTTCATTTGAGAGAATGCATCCCCTCCATTTGTATTTCTTATTGTCTGGGACTGGGATGCTCAGTGCAGTTTTAGGTTGATGCAGACTAGGAGGAGTAAAACTGAGCCTGTAGGGTGAGCAGCGCCAGGCTGAGGAAACATGCATGGAAATAGACTGCAGATGGGAGAGATAAACAGGATCCCCAGGCTGTGACTGAGTAGGCAGGCCTCTTTAATGGCTCTTAGCAACGCCCCTGCTTTGACCCTCCTCATATGCAAGGAAAATCAAATCAATACACTGTTCTTCAAACCACGATGCTGCAGCAGCAGCAGGGCATTGTGGCAGCCTTCGTCTCCTAAATTCATCAGCGCTTCTCACTTTGCCGATCTCTGGATACCCATCCCTGCATCTCTGCTGAGGAAGACCCTGACTGCATCTTTGATCGGATTGATTGAGCTCCCATGTACAGCCGCCTTCTTATTAGCAAGTCTTAGGTAGGCAATTTTAAAGTGCTTTTGGATTTGCCGGCAGCTTTGATGTTGATCTGAAAAGTCTATTGTATTCTCTGTAAACACAGCAGAAGCCTCTCTTTAAAACCTACTCTGTTTTAGATCTTGCTTTTCTTTTCCTGTTGTGGTGGTTGGGCAGGGGGGCACTGTTGTTTTTTTCCTTCTTTAAAGAAAAAAGAATGTTGTGGCTGATTTCTGCTTTTGGAAAAGGGTATTCCCTCTTTGATCCCTCCCCTGCTCTGCAGAACAGCTATAACCGGTGCCGTACAGTTACTTTCAGTGTTGATGAACATCTGTTCAACTGTCTAACGTACAGGGCAAGCTGCTCACCCTTTTATCCTTTCATTTTCTGGTGCGTTACTTCACAGCTGCAGATCTGGACTCTGCCCACTAAGAAAGTTCTGCTTTGGTTCCAGAGATGGCAAACAGGGGACCAAGCTATGGCTTAAGCCGAGAAGTTCAGGAAAAGATTGAACAGAAATATGACCCGGAGTTAGAGTCGAGGCTGGTGAACTGGATTATTGTACAGTGTGGAGAACAGATAGAGCACCCTCCTCCTGGCAGGCAACATTTTCAGACCTGGTTGATGGATGGAACGGTAAGTGGTTTGTCCAGTTATGCTCTTGCATGTGTTTGCATTCACAGTGTCCTCATTTTCTGTGTTCCTCTAGCTAAACTGGTCAGAGCTTACGGCCAGTGCAGAAATAGGTATGTTAGTGTCTGATTTATCTTCTGTTGACCAGGAGTCTTAATCTCGGAAGGCAATTATTCTACCAGTGCAGTGTGATTAGTTCAGATTCTTGTGAGTCACGCATGTTATATATGAGTATGACTCACGCCTTCAGCCACCTTTTCTCATACAGTTAAATGAGATCTGCTTTAAAATCAGACGTATACTTTTCCAGTTAAGAAACAATCAGTGTTGAGAAGGGAAAGGTTAAGAGGAAGGACTGGATTCTGTCAGAACTGTTTTCTCCTTGGGAACCAATTCTGCAGCTCAAACACTGTATTCCATTGGGTTATTGAACAACAGGCAGATGCTGCTGTTTGCAGTGGGCTGTAAGAATACGCTAATCGCTGAACCTCTGCCAAAGTGACTTTAACAATATTTCAATTGACATTGCTTATGTTTTTGGCACGGGCATGTGGTTTCTTCTCTGTCAGTTGTTATATAACCTTTACCAGTGATAACTCTGTTGTTCCTGGCAAGCAGATTAGGATTTATACGGTCAGGGTATTGCCATCAGTTAATGAAAGCTTTAATGTATTTCTAATATACTTTGATTATTATCAATTCACTCCTTTTGTTTTGAATTGAAGGGATTGTGTCCTTGGCCAGGTCAAAAGCATTTTGCAGCATCATTTCCTGTGCAGAAACTGCCTTCTAGCGTGGTGACTGCTTTCTAATTTTGTTTCTGTATTTCTCTCTCAGCTGTTATGCAAGCTAATAAACAGTTTACATCCAAAGGGAAACGAGCCCATTGCAAAGATCTCTGAGTCAAAAATGGCTTTTAAGCAGATGGAACAAATTTCTCAGTTCTTAAAAGCTGCTGAAATCTACGGAGTCAGAACAACAGATATTTTCCAGACAGTGGATTTATGGGAAGGTAACAATAATGAACTGGAAGTGATCTTGCAGTCTTCATTTGGCTTTGCTTTGATGTGTTCTGAACGGTGCATTTTGTCTAAGGCGTATTCTCTAATGTAATTATCTTTTGTTTCTGTTTGCCTTACCTTATTGCCATGTTCTTCCCGTGGTGCATTATCTCCTCTGAGGGTTTTATATTACCCTGAGGGCATAACGGAGCCTTTCCAAGCTTGTGTTATCCAAAAGCCCATCATTCTCATAGAAATCCACAGACCTAATAAAATCCATGTTCTCTATGCTAATTATTTCCAAGTAAATAGCTTCTACCAGCAAATATGGTAACCCCTCATTTTCTGGTGAGAAGATTTTATTGCAGTTTTCAAATTTAAGCAAAGCTTAAATTAGAGCTTTAAAATGCATTCCCAGGAGCATCTATGCCTCCCTGAAGCATATGAGGGCTTGTTTATGAATAGAGAGAAGTAAAACTCACTGCTACACCGTGTTAGCAGAGCATCTCTAAGGATACAGTCTTGTAAGAGAGGTCACTATGGCAACAGCAGAAATAATTCAGAGTACCCTGATGATTTTGCAGTAAGCCAGGTGAAGCCTATCTCCATCCAATGCTCGAAATGGAAACTGTGTGTTCTGGTTCCTGAGGAGCTGAGTCATTTGTGCATCTGTATGGCTGGGTTTGCCTGCTTCTGTGGTGCTGCGTCCCTTCCTGGTGCGCTAACCAAATTCACTGTAGATGCTGCATCTCTCTGGACAAAGCAGTGCAAAATGCCTTGTGTGCAGGCTCAGAGCAAGGACAGCTGGAGGATAGTGAGAGGATCAGAAGTCTGCCATGAGAATGAAACAGTGGAAAGAGGAGAACAAACCCCTGGGAAAGCTGGTGGGCACAGTTTTGTGGGAGCACACATGGAGCAGAGTGGCGGGCTATGTGGAAGAGGTCACACCTCTGAAGGGCAGCTCAAGGAATGAGCTGAGGGTACTCTGTGGCTGGGTTAGAAGGGAAGGATGTACTGACAGCTGGAGTTACTGGGATCTGTAGTGTTCTTAGGGTGCCAGATTTGCGTGATATACCTTCCCTTGGGTGCAAGGGCAGGATTGTTTCTTCCAGTTCACCCTTTAAGGTTTCATCCCGTCTACCTTTAAGTGTCTTAAAGGAAGGGATTTTCACTTCCCTGGCGTAACACCCTCCCACCCCTCAGCCTAGCATGCTGTTGAAAGAGAAGCTCTTGCAAGGGACGATAATAGCTCATTTCAGATGCTTTTCTTTACAGTCTTTTGCATCTTATAATGGCTTCACAGCATGCAAATGAAAACGTGGTACAGAACAACTTGCTTTGAAGACAAAAAGCTGCTAATGATGGTGGTTCTCTCCTCATTTCCTTTCACTCATCACCTTTTCTCCACAAATGTAAGGGGAAAAGCTAGTAACTTCCAGAGGACAGGAAGTAAGGAACCAACTTGCTGCCGAGGAGGCAAACATGCAAGTCATCGCTCCGCTGTTATTTTAGGACTTACCAAAACTAAGCTGTGTCTCCCTTTTCATCCCTTCTGCTGCTCATTGCAGTGCCGAGATGAAACAGGATGTGTCTCCAGCAGGGACTCGCTGCAAGCTTTTTGTGTCTAACCGTAACTCTGACCTCTAGCATCTGTGCTGCTTCAGGGCTGAACCGTCTGAACCTGGATGCATTAGCTGGATAGAAAGGGCAGTCTCTTTTTCACTGTGTCATAATTACAGCACTCCTATAATTCACACCATAACCCCTTCAGAAACAGAGGAGATGTCAACGTGTGGTTATAAAGAGGGACATAACAGTATTTGTGAGTGAAAACCAGCTTTTCTCTGGCACTAGTTGAGTTGTTTTCTGAGAGCTTTTGCTTTGAATCGTAGTTATGGTTAATGAAAATGGTTTAGGATGCAATTTGCTGTTGGCTGTTTCCAACTCAGTCCCGTCTGGTGCATTTTCCTTCATCTCTGCAACTTCTTGGTCCAGAAGAAGTATTGCCTCTTTTGGTCCTTTCTTACATAAATGTTGTGTGCTGAGCAGCTTTCCCTAATCCGTCCCAAGATATTATATTCATTGTTTTTTACAGATACATCCCTGGTATGTTTTGAGGCAAGGAGGAAGCAGATGTACCTCTGGGTTCTTGTTAATCTTTACTAAAAAGCATTTTAGGAATACTATGCCGAGCAGTTCTTGGTCTTTAACTTTGAAACTTCCTATTTCTGGTCCTGGAGGAGAAGGCCTTCCAACCAGGTTTCCCCAAAGAGAAAGGCTTAGCATAAGAGGTGAACAGAGGCTCCTTCCTCCTTGTCCAGGCAGTGCCAAGATCCTTGATGAGACAGTGCTATCCAAAGCGTACTGCAGAGGACACTGAAGATGGAGAAGGAATGCCATCAGCGTAGGTCCCTGCAGCATGATCCAGGGAGGCTGATGTGGGGGGCCAGGCAGGCAGCCCCAGTGGCTGTTGATGAACAAGTGCTGGAGCTGAGGAAAGGCACTGACTGCAGTTTCATAGAATCATAGAATAGATAGGGTTGGAAAGGACCTTAATATCATCTAGTTCCAACCCCTGTGCCATGGGCAGGGACACTGCAATGCCAGCCTTAGGACAATGTGTACGGTCCCTGCTGTCAGGCGCCCGCAGTGTGAGGTGGCTCTCACTTCATGCCTTTCTATGCTGACCATTGGGCCCCATGCACCCTCTGCTGTAAGAGGGCAAACACCACAAGACCACATGGATTCGGAGTGTTCCCTCACCTGCAGCACCCCTCATACACAGCAGGAAGGCTCTGCAAAGCAGGGCAGTGGCTTTGTTTTGTCACATGGTGCTCAGCTCCCACTGGATCTATTTTTCCCTGCAGCGTCTCCCACTCGGCAATGACAAATAAAGCAGAGCTGAGTGCAGAGCGTGGAGGGGGGGAGCTGCCAGATGGCTCCATGGGGCCCGTCATTGTATTTTGCTACCCGTCTTTTGTTTCTTTCTCTTGTTTTCCGTGCTCGCTGTCATTATTCAGCTCATTCACTTTTAAACCCTTCTTCGCATCCCTCTTCATCCCAATCAAGCCACCGCGCTCCTTGTTATATGGGAGGCATCACAAGGACGTTGTGCACGGCATCTGTTACAGCATATGGTACATCTGCTGCTTCGGGGAGCTCTGAGTGCTTCTCTGCCTCACCCTCTTCCATTGGTGCCTGTGTACGTGTGCATGTGTGGGATCTCAGCTGCCCTCTTAAGCAAGGACCCCGTCTGATGCACCCTGCATTAACAAATACAGTAAAACGAGGGTTCTGGGTAGCTGACAATTTATTGTCTGAGCAAATGGTCCCCTGCAGATAGGTTTCCTACAAACCATAATAGGCTGTATGACAGCCACAGTTGGAAGCTGCTAGACATTTTCAGCTTTAGGGTGCCTTCCTCACCTCAGCCAGTGTGTTATACAGTTAGGCTTGTACGAGTCAAAGCCTTGAACTGCATCTGCCTATAATGAGGGTGATGCACAGCATAAACACAGGATGTGCAAAGCTCGCTTCCCTCTGTGTTCCAGCTGGTCTGCAGGGATCTTCATTAATATTGCTCCACTGGAGGTAGTTCTGAAGTCTGTTTTCATCATCATGTCTCCAGGATCTAGAGTTAATTTAATGAGTTACCTCTTTTCCCATGTGAAGAGCCTACAGTCAAGATCAAATCTGTGAACCAGATAAATTACTTTAGGAAAGAGGAAGCACTGGAACCAAAAGGAAGGGAGGGGAGTCATGGAAACGCTTACGGAAGGATTTCAGAAGAAGGGAGAGGCAAAAGGCAGATTTCCAATAACTTACCACTTCACACGGTTGGAAATATGAGCTGCAGCTCATTTCTGCTAGGAAGTGTTCCAAAAGTTAACATATTGGGTAATGAGTTAGACCCTGCCTGGCTGATATCTCTATGTTCCTTCCCTTTTCACACCAAGTGACAAAGTGCAGGAGTTAGAACCAAGAAAAGAGGAGCAACCTTAACTTTATAAGATGTTCCATGTCTCCCTCGTTTTGTTTGCTGTTTGTTTGTTCAGCTTCTTGGAGGAAAGGGCAAAATATGAGCAAAAAGGAAAAGTTATTGATTATCCTCGTTTTTGAAGGGGAGGCAGGAGGAGTCAGGGTTTTTAAATGCAAACCCTATTGAAAATGAGCTTTGTATTGCAAAGATGTCAGATGCCCTTTTGGAAAGCTGGTGAATTTTCAGCCAGGTGGAAGGCTTGCCTCTAAGCAAGTGACAGGCAACTTCACCCTTCCCAATGCAGGTGGGATACATTATCTCCTCAGAAGCTTTTGTCTTGCTGTTGTTTATGGAGGTAACATTAAGAACTAGTGATGATCAGATCAGTAACTTCTACCTGGCTAAAGATGAGATGAGCCCTGACTTCTTGCAATGAGGAATGAAGTGAGGTAACATAAGTGAAAGATCTGGGCGCTGGATGGCAGGACCTGAAGGTATGAAACTGCAAAGCATCAGGTTTTGGCAGCCTGAGAAAGGAAGCCAGTAGGAGGGATTTGGGAGGTGATTTTATAGTTAAATTGGGAAGGGCTGATAGGAATTATCTGCACAGGAGCTCTCTGGGGCTGCTGTGAGGTCTGTTAGCAGAGGGACTGCCTGGAATTGCCAGGGATTAAATGGTGGGAGCAGTTTTACCAGGTTACAGGTGAAGAAACACACTGTTCTCCTAAAGATGCGTTTTACTGAGTCTATTTGTTGTTCTTTGTACACCAAAGTGATCTTTTATTCGGAGAAAATTTTGCCAGAAGGATTATCTGGAAGGATAGAATAGAATAGGGGAAGGCATTAAATAGAAAAGGAGGAAGGACAGAATAGAATGGGGGAAGCCATTAAAATAGGCAGAGGACTGGAAACCTGGGAATGTCAAGTTTAGCTTTAATGCTGTCCCTTTGATGACTTTTAATATGCTCTTGGACGTCGGTACCTCCATTTCAGCAATGGTAAAATAGCTTTTGTAATGCTATTAATGCAAGTTTGGGGGGGGGGGGGGGGGGGGCCTGGAGGAGTTAGTTAATACATTGGATAAGGCTGTTAATTAGTGTGCCAAGCTATTCCTTGTGCATGGGTTTCCTGTATTCATTTCTCTGTCTGGCTTTCTAGGGAAGGACATGGCAGCAGTGCAGAGAACCTTAATGGCTCTAGGCAGTTTGGCAGTCACCAAGGATGACGGCTGCTACAAAGGAGATCCGTCCTGGTTTCACAGGTAAAGTCCAAAGCAGAGCTGCTCAGAGCTGCCTTCCCTGGGAAGCTGGTCATATTGTTGGGAAAAGAGGGGAAGAAACTTTCCAGTTTCCTTCTAAGGGAAAGATTGTCTTTCCAGAGCCTGGAGGAGGAAAGCCAAGACCCAACCAGGCAGCAACGTTTTCTACCCTTCAATGGTTCCCAGCTTTATCATTATCACTGCCAGCCCCATGTGTTACCATATCTTGTCAGCCTAGAGTAACACCCAGGAGGAGCCTTGTGGGAGCTGTTTAGCGCAGCCTTTTCTCATGTAACCAAGTCAGGCCACCTTACTTGTCTCTCCTGTCCCAGAGCTGGGACAGCATTACTGGTACCAGGAGTAAGGAGTGCATCGCCCGTGGCTCCAGCTCTGGTTTTCTCCTGGAGGCACTGCTTTTGAAGGAGGCTGTTCCAGGCTGTGCCGGTGTGGACATGTGCGTGCATGTGTGGGGACCCTCCTGGGTGGCTGGCTTTTGGTAGTGCACACAGGGAGGAGGATTGCAGCATCCTGCTCCAAGCACCTGTGGGGCTTATCCATCCTGCTTCATGAGGGGCCCACACTGATCGCTGAAGAAGAGATAATTCTCTTGTCCACTGATGTTATCCCTGATTCTTATTCACCAAAAGGAGGTCAATGATACTTAGGAAATTCAGCCACCAGTTTTGATGGCATTCATCTATTTAGTAGCTTCGGCTAATCCTCTGTATCTATTTATGAAGAAAAGGGAACAAAAATGGCAACAGCCATGCAGATAAGGGTGTCCTAAGAGTAGCTGGCAGGTAAAGGGTACCTTTGCCTCACATCAGATAACAGACAGAAAGGCTGATGAAGACATCGCTGTCATGGATGTCTGCAAACCCCAATATAACAACCCCTTTACCAAACAAAGAGAAGGGATGAAGCCTTTTCCCATATTTTAGCAAATCAAAATTAATTCATTTCCAGTCTTTTTTTTTTTCCCTTGGAGAGAACCACTTCCCTATGGGGAGTTTTCTATCCTGGCCAAGCTGTTTATTTGCTTTCAAACTCCATTTGTTTCAGGTAGGGAGGCTGAGAAGGAGGGACAGAAAGAAAAGGAAATCTTCCCATGGTTAGTTAGCCCTCCTACCTCACAGACATACTATTGACATGAGCTTCTGCCGTCCAAGGGTATTACTTATGCTGAGATGTCTGAAGAGTGTTAGCAAAATGAATTCTGGCTGCTTGTCTTTGGTGTCCTTGGCTTTTCGGATGTCAAGGTGAGGGTCAGCAGAAGGATAACAAACTTCACTTGGTTTGTCTTAAACCTTCACCTCATTTAACTGAGGCTAAGGGAGACTTGAGTTTTAGGAGAATAACTGCAAACTCCCATGCGTTCTTTATATGAAATTACTTTAACTTAATACAGTGCACGAATAGGTTTGTATTTATGGAATGTAATTGGGTTTAAAATTGGGTTCAAATCCAGTTCCATGCTTTAATATAAACCAGACATGAAATCACTATGACCCAGACAGGCTTATTCGTTTTGTGTAACTAAAGCAAAGTACTACATGGAAAAATTAATTTACATCTGGACTCCTAATTGTGGGTGGGAACAGTTTTCATTGGCATAAATGAAGATGTGATCACCTCCCTCCTCCCCTAGCTGTCTCTCCTGCCCGTGCTGCTTGGATATAGCCAACCCCTATCTATTGCAGTCCCTGTAATTCCATTTTGTTGCCACTGCCTTAAGGAAAACAGGTGTTATTTCTATAAGGAGATAGCATCTTGCAGATCAGGAGCTGTTTTCTGAGTACTTTACCCACCCCTTTAGGCAGTTCAAGCCCTCTCACTGCCACCCGGTATTAGTTGTGAGTCAGGGCTTTCAAGCTCATTCTTAATCTCCTTAAGTTAAATTGAAAGAAGTCAAGATTAAATGGAGTAACAGTATCCATGCAGGGATCTACAGTGATTAAGATGCACTTGACCTAAGCTGTTTAGCTTTCCATTGTCAGTGTCTCACATACCCAGTCCCACCAGGCCTGATTCCCCTTTCCTTGTGTGCCCTAGCAAGGTTCATGGATCAGTGGCTATTTCCTATCTTATGGTTTGGCAACCACAAGCACTGGTGCCAAGTTGGCACAAAAAGTGAACGCATCTGGTGGGCTCAGTCTGTGGTATGGGTGATGCCAGGTTATGGTAGACAGGCCAAACAGAACTTGATGTGGTGTAGGACACTGAGGGGAAAAGACTTGTTCTACAGTCTCAGTTAAAGCTATTTCTACCAAACTGAAAGCAAAATGTAAGTACATGTTCTTGTCTGCGAGACCGTTGTACAATGAATGTGGTGCTTACGATGGTTAAATAACAGTATATAACCCAAACTGTGTATTGAATTAATACTGTGGAATTATTCCACCACGTGGCTGAAAACTCTAGGAGAAAAGAGAAAGAAATAATAGAACCAGAGAACAGTTAGAGTTGGAAAGGACCTTAAGATCATCCAGTTCCAACCCCCCTGCCATGGGCAGGGACACCTCACACTAAACCATGGCACCCAAGGCTCTGTCCAGCCTGGCCTTGAACACCACCAGGGATGGAGCATTCACAACCTCCCTGGGCAACCCATTCCAGTGCCTCAGCACCCTAACAGGAAAGAACTTCTTCCTTATATCCAATCTAAACTTCCCCTGTTTAAGTTTTAATCCATCACCCTTTGTCCTATCACTACAGTCCCTAATGAAGAGTCCCTCCCAAACATCCCTACAGGCCCCCTTCATGTACTGGAAGGCTGCAATACCGGATGAATGCGTTCCTGAGATTTTAATTTAAACCAAGGCAGACGCAGTGAACCTGGGATTCAATGAGGTAATAGGAGTAGGTCTAAAAACAGCCTCTCGTGGAGATCCTACAGTGTAAGTATTCTGGGAAAGAAATTAAGCAGCAGTGAGAGGGGGCTGCTTTCTGAGGCACCCACAGTTGTGTGTGCATCCCTCCAAAGCCTTGTGTGGGCTGCAGTATCTGAGAGCTGGACATGGGTTTCTCCAAGCCCTCTTGTTAGTCTGTGTGTTCACACTGGATACCCATTGTGAAAAGTGATGGGTCAGCACTGATGTCCTGTGGCTCTTTCTCACCTCTCTGCTTTGCTGGGCTTTCATCCTGCAAGATCCTGAACACCCTGAGCCCAGCAAGGAGTTTAAGTGCTTCTGTGGACTCCAGCCAGGGTGTTCAGCATGGTGCAGGATCAGACCTCCATGGAGAGGATCATGTGGATGGTTTTCAATCACAGCAGGCCCCCTAATCTAGCAGTGGGGTGGGGAGAAACAGGGAGCTGTAACACTACATCGTATTGCAGGATAACCTGAACCCAGGATGGACAGACACAGCAGGGGCAAAGATTGTACCTGGGTGGGAGTTTGGTTGGTTGAAGGCCTTTGGTCTGGAGCTCTGCTGGTTTATATGGCTTATTTGGCAGCAGCAGGGTGATCCTTCTTCCTTGTAAAAATCGCTTGTTTTCCCCACCTGTTATAAATGTAAGACTAATCCAGGATGAGCAGTTTATCTCAAGGCAGCACAGTACAAACTTCCATGCTTCTTTTTAACTCCCACTTTGAGCCCCAGTGCCATTTTCAGGGAAAAGGGGTTCCTTTTAAACTCCAACAAAGGTTTATGGATCCAAAGGGCTTTTGAGACCAGGGACACCAAACAAAACCGCTCAGTATGGTTTGACAGAAGATAAAGGACTGTTATGGAGTTAAGATGCAGGTCCAAAGGGCGAAGGCTATTGCTTAGAGGGGAGAGAGCTGGAAATGGCAACAGAGCAACTGTTCTGTCCAGCAGGCAACCATCATCTGCTCTGTCAAAATGAGCAAGTCACACCTCTGACCTCTTGTTTCTCTGGGTACATCCAGCTCCTATTTACTCCACTGAGTTAAATTATGCCTATTTTTACTGCTGCACTAGATGGGTATCAATCTGTATTATAGCACAGGTAAGCGTCTGTTGAGAGCTGTAGGGTTTAACACCAATTAACTCTTATCATGTGTGTTATATACAGCACTACGTATTTTACCTGTCATAGCTGCTGGGAAAGGCCTTTGGGTTCTGGAACAAGTGGTACAGTGAAAGCCTGAAGTGTTGTGGGTTTGACTACAGCATTACTCCTAACTGCAGGAAAGCAATTAGCCCAGCCAGTATTGTCCAGCCCACGGGATGGTGCAAATGAGATACTGCATTACGGGGGATGCATCTATTAACGCGAGCCAATATTTCATGATCCTTGGGGCACACGCAGAATGATGTGTGTATGTTGCCTTTTTTGTGTGTGTCTGGACAGGAAAGCACAGCAGAATCGACGAGGATTTTCAGAGGAGCAGCTTCGTCAGGGACAGAACGTTATAGGCCTTCAGATGGGCAGCAACAAAGGAGCATCGCAGTCGGGTATGACAGGCTATGGGATGCCAAGGCAGATTATCTGAAGCATCTCTGTAGAGAAAACGCTCCTTCTGCAGCATGGTCTGTTTAAAAAACAAGAAAAAGAGGAAAAAAAAAAAAAAAGCTCATTATTTCCCTTTCTGCCTGGTTTTTAATAGTTAGTGCTCTCTGAGGTTTGGGGTATTTTGGGTTTGGTTCGTTTCATTTGCAGCTGCAAGAGTTCACCTAGGGGCTCTGGTTTCTTGTGGTGGTGTGTGTCAGTTCCCAGCACGTGCGCACTGCTGCCTCTCCTCCTTTTCACTTCTGAACTATGCAAAGAGAATTATTCTGTGTTTAATTTATTTGCGAAGCGTTCTCTTCCGTATTTGTCTCACACTGCACTTGTATTTCAACCGGTAACCTCGTTCTTCGATTCGGTGATGGTATTGTTTGACCTAAGAATAAAGATGAATTAAAGACACCACCTCTTAGGCTCATTATTTAAAGGGGGTAAAAGCAAAACCAGTCACCGCATGGTACAGTGCTGAGGAGTTAAGTGTTTTGAAGGGTCAGTCTTTCTCATCCCTAACTCTGAGTGACTCCCTGCTGCAGTCTTTACAGTCTGGGGTAATGTGCAATTTAGTGTTTGTCTAAAGGCACATCCAATGTGTTTTTCTAAACTAAGATGTATGCTTATCCATTGAGTTTGATTCCTGAAATCCCACCCAAATTAGGTCTGATTTCCATTGATCTAGTGTGCTGGGTTGACTGCAGCCAGCAAACTTGGGGATGGAGCTAAAATCAGTTTAATAAAGAAGGCAAAAGCTGTGTGCGAGGACAAAGCAAAATAAGGAATTAATTCCCACTTCCCACTGGCAGGCAGACGTTTAGCCCCTTCCTGGAAAGCAGGGCCTCAATATGCATGATGGGTACCTGTTACCTTAGACGTATCTCCTTCCTACTCCTTTTCCCTGAGTTTTGGTTGCTGACCATGACACCGTATGTATGGGATATCCCTTTGGTTAGTTGAGGTCAGTTGTTGAGGTCAGTTAGTTGAGGTCTCAGCTACAGGGGAAGGATGAGAAAGGGAGAAGACCTTGACACTGTGCAGGCACTGTTTAGCAATAGCCATCACACTGGTGTTTACCAACTGCTTTAGTCACAAATCCAAAGCATAGCATACTACAAGTTGCTGGGGAGAAGGTTGACTCCATCCCAGCCAGGTGAGTCTCCACACTTAGGGAATTCCTCCCCATGTATTGTGGTTTAACCCTACCCAGCAACTAAGGACCATGCAGATGCTTACTCCCTTGTCCTCCCCCTGCCTCAATGGGATGGGAGGAGGATTGGAAAAAGGTAAAACCCACAGGTTGAGATAAGAACAGTTTCATAATTGAAGCAAAGGAAAATAATAGGAAAGAAAAAGAGGAATAAGCCCCAATAAACGCAAGTGATGCACAGTACAATAGCTCACCACCTGCTGACTGATGCGCAGCCCAACCTAAGCAGCAATCCTGGGTAACTCCCCCCAGTTTCTATACTGGGCACGATGTGCTGTGGTATGGAATACCCCTTTGACTGGTTTGGGTCAGGTATCCTCTCTCTGCTGCCTCTCAGCTTTGTGTGCCCCTCCTCACTGGCAGAGCATGAGACTGGGAAGTCCTTGATCAGGGTAAGTGCTACTGAGCAACAACTAAACCATCAGTGTGTTATCAGCGTTGTTCCCAGACTAAAGCCAAAACACAGCCGTGCACCAGCTACTAGGAAGAACATTAACTCTACCCAGCTGAAACCAGGACACTATGAAAGGGCAATCTGTCTGTCAGAGGTGAGAACGGGCTTTACGTTGGTAGTTCATATCATTTCAAGGAGAACACAAAACAAGGTGCGTTTTACATGCAAAGGAAGAAATAGCAGACAATTTCCAGAATGCTTCTGACCTGAAAAACTCCCACAGCTCAAAATCCAGTAATCTGTTATGCTCATTTGATGGGCTGTAAATGCAGCTCATAGTTCATCGTGGGACAGTTTGCTGGAGAGTCAATAGAAGAACTTATTGACATAGTCAATCCTAATCTTATCAGAGCAGGTTGACCTGCTAGTCAGTGCAGGCTGCCTTGCAGCTATGTGGTGTGTACACTTGGGGGATGCAGGCAGTTTTCTCTGCAGAGTTTTATTGCTGTTAGCTATCTCTGTTGGCTTCACCCACTTCTTCCCCACAGGCAAATGGGAAGGGAAACATGATAATTGAACTCTGTGGGCTTTTTAAACTCATGACAGACATCCAAGAAGGCCTGAAAATGTGATATCTGGCTAGGGAAGAAATGAAGGGTCATCTGTTCTGGCAGCTGAGTGCCTACATATGTAGGTAGAGGTGACTTCTGTCTGGGTTTGAACGTTGTGACACATAGTGCCAGCTTGTTGTCCACTAAGTAGCCCCTGGAGTCAGTGACACAGATTGGTGTGGCTTCAAAAGCTCACTGTGTATACTGAAGGGATGATTCCCCCAGCTCAGGTGAAGCTCTATCCTCCCTATTGGGAGAAGGGTGGCAATAATATCTCCCCATTTCAGACAAGGTTTGCTGAAGCACTGTGGAGCACAGCAAGCAAGAAGTGATGTAGAGGTCATGTTACATGGTTGGGGCTGAACGGATCTATAGCAGCTGCCTCCACTTGTACCTCCTATCTGCCAGGGCATCTTGGCTCCTCTGCTGTGCTTGTCAAGCATCTTTTTTGGTGTTTACTACTTGCTTAGGGCTGTTTTTCAGTTATTTAAGTGAATGAGCTCAGCAGAGGGTCAGATGAACACCCCACATGGTACGTCTGGAGTAGGAGGTCACCTCCCAGCTGTGATGGGGCATTAACTCAGTGCAAAGCATAGCACATAACTTCTTCCTAGATATGACACGAGGTGTAACGTGAAGAGAACAGCAGTTTTACTTCTGAAAAGCAAATCAGCTGATTAAGAAAATCTGGGCTGATGGCAAGACAAATGACTGCCACCAGAAGCTCCACCTTGGTCAATAGGAGCAGCAGCCATGTTCCCTCAAGAGAAACTAGGAAGTGACAGTCACAGCAGACCAAGTGGCTGAGTGAGGGAAGAGGTCTGAGAGGTCACAACCTGACCCTTCTGTCCCACTCCACCTGCATGGGGGACACAGCCTCCAGGAGCCGGACCTGAGCTTGGAGTCCTCAGTCTCTCCCCTCTCTTTGGCTGCAGAATTGCCATTCTGTATGTCCTTCCCTTTGGAATCACTGTTTTCACGTTCCACGTGCCAATTGGATCCCCAGGGTACGCTACTTTCTGTATCCCTGATGCCTGCCCTCCTTCTCTATTAGATTTTCTTCCTGACCTTGCAGCCAGAGGAGGGGACAAGGCCAAATTCAGGTCCCAGCCATCAACAGGGCTGACTCAGAAGGGCAGATAGATCCACTGGTCAGCATAGCGGTCTGCCTAGCCCAGCACTCTGCATCTGGCAGCAACAAAAAGGCTGCTTGGAGCACTTGAGCCCATTCGTCCACTTGCTGCAGTCCTTGTCCTTCTTCCATCAGCATCTGATATGGTTGCAATAGGGGATGTCCCAGCAAAAGAAAGACCATGCCCGAATTAACTGTTCTGTCATCAAAGTTACATTCCCTAATTAAATGTCCTTTCCTTAGGTTTGACGTTCTAGCTTCATGGAAGTTACAGAAACAAAAACTAGTAGTTAAAAAGGCAATTTTAGCAGACTGTATTAGCAACAACAGCCAAGTGCTCCAGGAAAGAAAAACTATACCCTGTGGCTGCGGACACAGGAACTGATTTACTATGGGACCAGCAGCAAAAAATGACTGATTCCCCAGGGTCTTATATTTGTTAACCCCTCTTCACAACACCTTCTTTCTTTACCTTAGAGCATCAAACTAATCTAGCTGTTCAAATCTGGAGGTAGATGCTGCACATTATACTTTATCTTGCAGGTTAATCTGATCCTTCCATATTCCCATATGACATAGAAATATTAATGTTATTATTAATTAAATATTAACACATTCTGGCCTACTAATGTTCTTCTGTTCAAACCTCCTTACTACTGAGTTTGCAAACATCTTAAGCCAGGAACTAAGTTAATACAGTTCCAGGCTACTTTAGTAACCAAGTTAGCAGGAAGCATTATTGCTTTCCTTATATTAACAACAAACTGTTGTAAGTTTGCTTCTACTGCACCAAAAGCATTTGCTGAGCTCTTCCAGAAGCTTAATTGATTTCTATGACAACCTTCTGCGTTGTTACTACTGAAAGCCTTGATATACATTAGAATGAGACATGCAGGAGCTTTGAACATGTACTGAAGGGTATGGTGTATGTGTGTGTGTTTCCTCTCCTGGCTGTTGGGCTTGCTAATGCTTGGGGGATGGTTCTTCCCACAGATGATGAACAGCATCTCACTTGAGGCTGTGGGCTCGCTTTGACAGCAAGTGTGAGCTAATATAAGGCACCTCACATGCTGCCTTACGTTGCTTTTTGAAGCCTGGCTGTAAGTTGGTCAGCTGCCCCAGCTTAAAAATAAGCCACACTGTTTTGGTAGGAAAATGCTTTCAATATCCTCCCCTTCAGCAGCTGTACCAGAGAAAGCCCCATCAGAGCCAGCTGGACCAGAAACACCTTAAACATTGCCCTCCTTGTGCTTCAGTTTGCCATACTTGTACAAATGTAAGTGACATTTATCTGCCTTCATGAAGATTTTGGGACCGTGACCTCATTTGGGACAATTGCTTAGTAACATCTTTGCAACACTAAAGTGACGTCTAATGGCCTTCTGAAAGCATGCTCAACAGGTATGTGAGTGCAGAACCACATACATGAGAACGGGATCCAAGTTTATCCCCATTTATAAGGAGAGCAGAAAGAAAATTCAACAAACAGAAAGTCAATATGAAGTTCAGCCAGTTCAATGAAGCTGGACCTTGAGGACCATTAGGCTAACATAACATCATGTGTTTTAAATAAAAACTAATGAGAGTGAACGGCATGAAGAGGCTTTGCTCTTCAGTAAATGTGCCCTCAGCATCGCTTTGCTTCATGCCTCTGCTGAACGGCATCCCACGGCTTAGCTGGGTGCGAGGAGAAGGGGCTGATGGTGCCCATGGTTGCCTTCTGCCTGCGAGCTGGCAGGGTTGGCTGCTTGCACTCCAGCCACAATGCACTCAGACCAAGCTGTCTTGTTTTCCTAACTGCTTAGGCCAAAACAGAGCCACCAAGGAGGAAGAATAAGGACTCAAGATGTCAGACTTTCATTTCTATGTCTGTAATTCATTGGATTTGGGTCTGGCTGCGTTGTTTGGATGTGCTGCCTCTGTTTCTTTTTATGAAAGCTGCGCTAATACTTAATAAGGATGATCTGAGCATCCCGGACATCAGTAGGATCAGTGATGTGGCAATGTCTCCTAGAAATAAGCTTTAAGTATGCTGAGAAGGGAAGTGAGCACCTTTGGAGGAAA